TTAAAAACTGCCCAGGCACTGGAAAATGAGCATACTTCATATATTCAAGGTAACAGACTCACGGTGGAAAAAATCTCACTGGGCAACCTGCAGCATTTGTCTCTGTCACAGTATTTCCAGCACCGCTGCATTTTCCCAAATGATGCACAAACTCCTTCCCCAGCTCCAGCACCCACTTTTTTACCCCTCCCCATCCGCTTCTGGTCCTGCCACGGGCCAGTCCTAACCTTTCCTCTCAGCTGAATGACTCAGAAGGTGCTCGTTCAAGGGAGTAGAACTGTCACCGCTCGCTCCGAGCTGAAAGCCGGTGCCACATTGCCATCACCCGGCCCAGCCCCGCAGTGCAGCTCAGCCTGCCCGGCCGGGGAGCCCCGGGGACGGCTCGGGAGCTGTGGGAGGCGCTGGAAAACCTTCCCGTGCTCCCCACGCAGCAACTCAGGTGCCAGCTCAAGCCTCCTGGTCCCATCGGCCGCTTGCAGGAGCGGCACTGCAGGGTGCATCAAGGCACCTGAGCTTTGCATCGCGGAGGGGAAGGTGATTATTTTTAAGCAGCTGCTGCCAGACCTGAGTCAACAAACCACTGGAAAAGTCTAGAATATGTATTTAAAAAGCAAAGCATCAACATGTAATTACCTAAATAACAGAACAGCTACAGAAGTGGTAATTCCATTACCTAAGAAATGGAATTTACAGGGAGTCTATGTGATAAAGCAAAGCTTTCAGACCCAGGTTTGGGTTTGTTTTTTTCCAAAGTGCATCTTTTAGGCCGATCTAGCAGTAACTCTCCAATTTAATGCAGAGCACTAGAGCTAGACTGAAAGGCCAGGTATTGCAGGATATCCATTTTCCTTCCATTCTCTTTACATAGAATTTTCTAAGCTCTTTTCCCTGCCATCCCTACATGACTGTTACCCACAGAACGGGCTCAGAACCTGAGCTCGGTAACCAGCACACAGAGAGAATCTTGATTAGCAAACTACGGTAGACACGGAGAGAGGAATGAAATTATTAATTTATCAGTGGAGATCTTGCTCTGTGATGCACTTCAAAACACAAGTGATCACAGGAAAAATATACATGAGAGCAGCAGCTGCCTACCTGCAAGAGAAATCTGCAATGAAAATGTGCATTACTCCCGCAAAGCTGAGCTGAGGGCACCTATTCCACTGCAGACATTGGGTTTTCACAAAAGACAACGGAAGTTTTGAAGTGGCTGGCTCTGGAGCTGGGAATATGGGCAGGGTGTGTGTCAGGCATGGAACAGCTGGCTTGGAAGCTCACACAGAATCAGCTACAAGGGTGCAACCAGGCCAGGACACCACCCAGCCAGCAGCCGTGAGCTTTTCCTTTGTGGTTACAGAGCAGTTCCAAAAGCCAAACTTTCATTCCACAAAGGAGGAGAGAGAAAAAAAGCCAAGCCTTCAGCTCATCCAAGTCTAGACCATTTTTTTTTTTACAGCTGGAAATTACAGTTCCAGTGCTCAGCTACAGCGTGGACAGAAACACACTGAGCCCCACCACTCGTGGCTAACCTGAGCTCTAAAAAGTGCCACTTTTTAGCCTGTCCAAGGGCAAGAATCATCCAGAAGGTGGATGTGATGCGGAGATGTGTGCTGCTCTGCAGCCAGGCTTGCAGAAACACAACTGCCCAAGAGATGGGAGCTGCCTGACTGAGCAGGAGGCAGAAAGAACTGTGTTAGGGTGGTTTAAATGCATCCAGGAACAACAGGGCTGCTGGTAAAAGGCACAGGAGACTGTCAGGCTGTGTGCTGTCCTGCTTCAGAGCTCTCAAATGCCAAGTCATCTTCTAAGGAGGGGAAGAAGCCACAAAACCCAAGAAAAAATACCCCAAACTAAACACCTGAGCTGAGTATCAGCAGAGTCTGAGCACAGAGCTACTGAGACATAGCCCAACACCTTTTTGAGCCAAAACAGTACAGAACAAACCCAGGAGATGAGGTTTGTTAGCACTGACATTTCACACCTGCACCAGACTCTGCAAGGACAACAGTTCCTTGCAGATATAGGTGCAATTATCATTGTCATTCACACTGATCTTTGATTAACACACAGGTAACTCTGGAATGCCCAGGAACAGCTCTGCTGATTCCCCAATTCCCTCACTCCAAGTGCATCTTGGTGTTCATTATTAAAAATTGCTAATGTAATAAACATTTTAAATACCCAAGTATGCAGTATCACTCTCAAAATCTTCCCCTCATCTCACAATGCTTTTGAAAGGCATAAATAAAGCCAAATCAATTTCATGACTGTGACAACATGGGGTTTTTTCCTACAGTTTTAACTCCAGTGCCCAGAATCTCCTGATGAATAGTTAAGAGAACTATGCACAAACCAGATCTGCAATTTAAAGACAACAAAAACTTTGCTCCTCCAGCATATAAATCATCCAATAGCAACTAAAAATACTTAGCTGCATTTCTCAAGCAACTAACATTTTCAGGATTTTTTGGTGCCTCTGAACACTTGCCTGATTTAGGATTTTTCAAGGCCCAAAAGAGATTACTCTTCAGTGGTTAAATACCATTATACAACAGTTTAATAGCACTGTGTTAACTCTGAGTTTGTTACTCAGCTTCTTCCAGATAAAGGTATTTCCAGCACATCTGCATCACTGGAGCAAAAGGCTTCTTGCATAACTGCTCTAGTGGGGGAAGAAAAAACCTCCTGAAGGCTTTTTAATATGATCTTTCATAATTCAAGTCCTTGGGAATTCATACCAAAGCAGGAACAATGGATTCATTAAATAGTTCACCTTCACCTAATGCTTTCTGCATGCTTCACTCTTAAGCTATAAAGCAGCAAGCAACCACCTTTCCACATTGTTTGTGGTCAAGGGAGAGCTTTTCCATCTGAAGTCAGAGGAAAAACCCTTCCATCGTCTGCAGGGTGTGAGCCAAAAGAGAAGTTTTACAAACTGAGGTTCTTCCTCCCACCCTGTTCAATTGCTCAGAAGTGTCTGATCAAGAAAAATGTAGGGATATGAGGATTAAAATTTTAAAATATTAAGGCAGAGAGAAGCTTGAAGTTTCCAGAAATGATGTAAAATCACTTCATTCTTACTGGATGTGTCTTTATAAATCTTGGAATTGGGCAAAAAGCCACATCCCTAGTCCTAGCCAAGAGCAAGTCTTGAGACACCGAGAAAGATTAGCATGTGCTCAGTCCAGAACTGCTTATTTATTTCTTAAAATGTTTTACTGGATTAATAAGTCAACCCATCCTGATAATTTTATCAGCACAAGGAATTCTGCTCCTTTGAAACAACCTCCTCCAGCTGTTTTTTCTGAATACACCACCTCAGTCTGTTGCCTGTTTCCCCAACATGAGAAGATGCTCCCCAAGGCAGGAGTAAGATTACAACTTATTCCTCTTTCCTGAGGAAGAACCTTCAGATCTTAAAGTATCCTTCCCCACCTCTATTTTTTACCTTGTTAAAGATTAAAACCCGAAATTACATGCACCAATCTGTATTAAAACAATGGAAATCTAAGTTTACATACCAAAACAGACAGAAGTCAGGGAATGAAAACGAGTTTCCATAGGAACATCAGCAGCCTTCTCACTTCACCTTCTACAAGCACTTGAACACACACTTTGTGAGTCTAAAGCAAAAGGTTCTTGGCCTTTCTATTTCAATAGCAACCTTAAAACTCACTAGTAACATGCTCCTGTGACATTTAGAGCCAAGAGAAATCATATCTACATGCATATAAACAGTGTATTCCAAGCTGACACTTGCTCCTATTGATGAACACAAGTATTCCAAGACTAAGTATCTAGAAACAAGTGCTCAAGCAGCCCCAGGCTATGCTAAGTAAACACTGATCCAGACCCTAATGCCTACAGACAAGCTCAGTAACAGCCATCAGACACAGGGACATTGTCCTATTCCTTGTCCCAGGAACACTTTTCCACAGACAGCCCAGATTTTGTCTGCAGCATTTTGTGCCAGAGATCAGAGGAAGTGGGGGGGATTGTTTGGAAAGCTCAGTTCTAATAACCAGTTCTATTTTCTATCCTCAGTGCTGGGTATACCCCAGAAGGATGCAGACCACACACTCCTTGCAGCCAGTGTGTCACCCTCACTGGGCAGAGCTGTGACCTCTCAGCCTCTGTGCTGCACCAGCTGGCAGCAGGGTCCTTTCACCTCCCACCTTGATTTATACACATCCATCACACTAGAACACAAACCTTCTACGAAAAAGATGCTGTAGAAACTCACGAGATTGTAAATACTTGATTTATAATTTGTTTGCAATTATATTTAATATTAATAGTGTTTTGTTTTTACAAAGCAGTTGAAATTAAAAAAAAAAACAACCGAAAAGGAATAGCAAGAACCCCCCATCTGCTGTCTAGCATCAGTAATCCTCACTGGTTTGTTCACCATTTATAAGGAAAACATCATTCAAGCTGGCCTGTCACAGAGACTTCTGCAGTAACTGGCTGTCAGTGCAATCCGTGGCATTTGTCAGATCACCTGTGGTTTTTCTGGAAGCCCCTCTGCCTAAATTCAAGGTGTCTGCCAATGATAATATCCTTCCTCTCTAAATTATCCTCCAGCCAAACACAGTAGGTCTGGTAACACATGTCTGAGGATGGTAAATATCCTCATCTTACTGAGGTAAACTGAGCGTGGATAATTAAATTTGCCTGAGGCCAGTGTTTGGAACAGCCACAGATCTCACAATCCCAGGGGATTCACCTTGGCTGGAGACTATGCTCCCTCTCTACAGAACAGTGAAAATTAACTGATTGCACTGGAAGTGTTTCTTTCTTTGTCCTCTCTAAGAGGATCAGGTATTTCTCCTGTGTAGCTTCTGTGTTACAATTTGGAAATGGGATAAATCTGTTTTGAAGCTAAGACCTGCACTAAACCAGCCCCAAAGGAGTCCCTGTGACAGGCAAACTGTAGGCAGTCAGACAGTGGGCAAGATCAAGCCTGCTAGTGCCATGAGACACTAGGGAGGTTAGCCTCATCCACCTGCTGATGGGCCTCTCCGGCCTGGTCTCCAGGAACAGGTTCCTCCTCCTTCTCCAGACAGTGGGTTATACCCTAGAAACACAGAAGAGAGATCCACTGGATTAATATTCTTCCTCCCCAGCCCTTCACCAACACATAAAGAATACCAAAAATAAGCCTCACAATTATTTACACCTTGTTTATACTTACTACATAGGCAGCATTTTAGGGAAAATGAAAGCAGGGAAAATACACAGGCTTGAGAGGGTTTATTTTTGTAGTACTAATAGTAAAAGCCACTGCAAAACACTTGTGTTTTGATTTGATCAATTTGGATTAAATTAAATTGAAACTAATTACCATTTGATTTCTCTAAGTCTGCACTGAAGCTGTAGTGCTGCTCTGCAGGATAAACAGAGCAGTCACAACAGCTCTCAGAGTAAACTCTGTACGAGTGTATCTGCTCTCCAAGTGTCCTAACAGTCAGGGACTTAAAACAGTCTTTTATTCCAGTGCTGCGAGGAATACTCTGAAGGTCAGAAGGTAAATCCACTCATTACTACTGCAAGATACATTTTGTAGAGAACTTGAAGAGGCAAGAATAGGTAGTAAAGCAAATACACTTCAGTTTAACATCCTAATGCTGAATAACTTCATGTCAGGATACACTGGGAAAGATACAACCTGGCAAATGTCCTCAATCTGCTCTGCACAAAGCAAAGCAGCAAAATCCTAGTAGCACTGCTAACCAAGCAGGTTTCAACGCAATCTGTTCCTCTGAAACTTCCAGCATCATCATCTTTGAAATTTGTTTTTCTCACAGCAGCCAAGTTTTGCTTTCTAGCTTTATTCAGCAGCTGAATAGTGCAGGTGGTTCTTTCACTTCATGCTGATCTACCTCACCTGATGAGAAGACCTGAGACCTCTAATTCTTTAATTGCTTGCTTAAGCAAAGACTTTGCTTAGGCTTAAACCAGGACAGGTAGCAGCTGGAAGGGTGCTCAACCCAGCTGCCCTGACCCTGCTTCTCAGCACAGCATTCCTCATCCCCCAGGGACGTAAATAGCCCATGCAAGAGCTGTCCAAGATATCAGATTGCACTCCTATTAAACAACCTCAGATAAATCAATTACTCAACTCCTTCTGATGTCAGGAACAATATTCAAAGCAGCAATTTCACCACTGCTCTCTTATTGAGGTTTAATATGTTCGATCAAGAATCTGCAGGTTTTATCCCTTTAATCAAGTGACTTACTCAGCACTTCACCCTAAGTGGGTTTCCCTTTCAGCCTGATATGATCGAGGCTGCCTACATGATTCACTCCACTATGGAAAACTGTAATTAAAATATACCCAAATTAGCACTTGCAGGGATGGCCCATGCTGCTGGGCTGAGAGGAGAGAAAGGAGACTGTCTGCATGGCTGACATATGGCTGTGAGCCTAACGTGGGTGATGTGAGGCCACAGAAAGCACTTCATCCATCAAGGTGATTTCAGCAGCTGACAGTGAGTTTAATGCTGAGATTCTCTGGCACTATCTGAGAGTTGATAAGAGTTTAAACATCTGCACGATTTATATATTCAATAGGTCATTTTTGTGGTAACTGACAAATAAGGTCACGTTTTGCATAACAAACTTTTTCATCTTTCTGAATCTGTATAATATGAAGTAAAATACTCTCTTGCTGCACTTAGTCAATACTAGAGGTGCTTGAAAGACAGACCAGATATTAAATTATTGGATTTTTCCAATAATGGGAGAAGAATCCCAGAAATATGGAAAGAATCTATAATTCTGCGTAAGAAAAATCTCAGTAAATTATCGCAAAGCATTTAGAAAAAAAACTGGACATTGTTTTCCTGGGGAAAAGCATCACAAAAACTTCCTGCCAGGTTTTGCACCAAGCAGAACAACTGACCAGAGGTAAGAGCTCATTTGTGAGGTACATTTTGTTTTCTCCTTAGAAAGACAAGAAGTATGTACAGTGACAACGTACACAGCTGGATAAATGCTCTGTTCAAGCTCAGAACATCTTAAGGATTCCACACTTACCACCTCCTCGCAAAGGCTTTTTGTTTGGTTTAGATTTTGGGACTGCTGAGGTGGAGGCACCAGATTCTCCTTGCTGTTCAGAAAAGCAAAGAGTTACTCAGCATGTAATCAACATGAATGTCAGCTAATTTAATCACACAAACACAACTGTGACCTGACTAAGAGGTTGTTACCTGATTCAGTTTCAGATTTCCTTTGTAGCTCTTTCCTTCTTGCATACTTTCCCACATTGCTATCTTCTGCCTTCGCTTCTCCTCTTCAAGCTGTAGAACAAATCCAGGATACACAAGACTAAGATTTCAGAACTCACAGAATCCCCAGGAACAGCTACAACAGACTTGTCAAACCCCATGGGATCTATCTTTATCTGATGCAATATCTCTGAGCTGATGGAAGCATTTCCTTTTTCACACACCCACATCTTCCCCTCCTCAGTATGTACAGACTGTGTCTGCAGCTTCTCTTGGCCACTTGTTGCTTTAAAACGTTTTGAAAGCAAAACAGAACCAAGTGCAAGCTTAAATCTCGAGTCTGTGAGTAGTACCAAGTAAAGAATGCTGCATATGAGAGTCATTTAATGCACAATGTGGGGTTCTACACAAGAAAGTGTAGAACAGCTAACACATGAACAGCTAAGATGTACATCCCAATATCCATAACTCTCCCAGCTCTCTGCTAAAGGAATTTATCCACAAAACCAAATAATCACTCGTTAAGAGTCCCAGAATGGTTTGGGTTGGAAGGACCTTAAAGATCATTTAGTTCCACCCCCTGCCATGGGCAGGGACACCTTCCACCAGCCCAGGCTGCTCCAAGCCCCATCCAACCCGGCCTGGAACACTCCCAGGGATGGAGCAGCCACAGCTGCTCTGGGTAACCTGTGCCAGTGCCTCAGCACCTCACAGGGATGAATTTCTCCCTTACATCCAATCTAAACCTACTCTCTTTCAGTCTGAAGCCATTCCCCTTTGTCCTATCACTATATCCCCTGATGAAGAATCCCTCTCTTCATCCTTTTAGGCCTCTTTAGATCCTGGAAGGTTGCTCTGAGGTCTCCACACAACCTTGTAATCTCCACACAACCTTGTAATCTCCACAAATAGAAAGCATTGAGGTAGCTACTCCATCCAATCAAAGAAAGCAGAGTATAAACTGAGGTCTAAGTGTCTGACTGCAACACCAGAAATAGAAGAAGAGATGGGATTAATGAGCAGTGTTTTTGCTATGCTGATCACATTCACTTCTCTGTGCTGCCCCACACAGCAATTTGCTATTTCTTTTTATGTCAAGCCACAGTTCAAACCATTAAATTGCAGCAACACTAAGTTACATTTCTAAGAACTCCTATTTGCCATTAAGAACAGAGAACACACGTGTACAGTGGTACAATTAATCTAAATGCTTGTAAATCCCCTCCAGCCACTCACTGCACACAACTAAGTCCCTGCAGGTACAGATTTACCTGTAAAAACACTAAGATCAGACCCACAGTGTTCATGGTGGTTCTCTTGTGGTTCTCCACAAGTAATTGCAAGAACAAGTGCCACAGAGGTGAGTTACTTGAGGCAGGAGCAGAACAGTACATGTATCAATCTTTAATCAATGAAAAGCATCAAGACATGAGGTCAGCACAGTACATAAGCATGTGCTGGAGGTTCATCACAATACCTAACGCTCTGTGGATCAAACCATGCCAAATGTGATCCTGGCAGAGGAGAGAGGAAAACCCCTCCACCCACATTCCAGCAGGGACAGCGACTTTCCTATCTGTCTGGTGTCTAATATGAAATAATCCTTCCTTTAACAGCAGCAGAGTACTTGATGACAAATTTTATGAGTTAAAGAAAGAAATACTCTTTGGTTACCTGTTTTTGTTTTTCTTTGTATCTTTCTGCTTGTGCATTCAACTCCTCCTGCATCCTGAGGCGAGCTGCTGCCAAGGCCTCCTG